ATCCAATTTATCCAAATGATAACTAAACCAACCGTAAAACAACAAAATTGACTAGATATAACATATATAAAATTACAGTATAAGTAAAGTAATATAATACTATTAATATAAATGATGCATACAAATTATAAATTAATTTAAAATTAAAAGTAAATAATAATCAATTATTATTATATATTTAATTTAAAAATAATTATACACGTGCATGAGCACGGGAAAATCACCTAATATATATTAAATTAGGTAAGTTATCAAAAGTATATGACTAATTTTTAAGTATGATATTAATGGAAACTAGCGAAGGGGCCCTTTCAGATTTAGGACACCATTAACTCACAACCCGTGCTTATTTATTTATTTATTTATTTTCTGTATTTTTCTTTTTATAAAAATAAATTAAAAACTAAATTAATAAACTAATTGCGGCCCGTGCTTATTTATTTATTTATTTTCTGTGTTTTTCTTTTTATAAAAAAATTAAAAATTAAATTAATAAACTAATTGTGGACTGTCATATGTAAGTGGGACTTGCAAAATACAAAATTCCCACACGACGCTTACATTTGGAAGGGGACTACACACTACTTTTTGCTAAAATCTCCCATAAGCGGTTGTTGATGCTCCTCTTGATTCTTACTTAATCAATGGTCAAACCCTTAAATCCAACATAGGTGAACTCATTCTTATTCCCAGCTAAACCATCCACATTATTTATTCATCAAGATTTCTCAAACTAAGGTTAATAACATTAATACAAAGTCAACGGGCACACACGTGAGAGAAAGAGCTAAGATAACAGAAGGGGTTTTAAAAGCCGAGCAAATGAAGCATTATAGCATTTTGAGCATGCATGCGATTCTCAGCCTGTGGGAAGACGATAGAATAAGGAGCTTCCACGACTCCATTAGTCACCTCAACTCCTCTCTCTGCTGGCAAACAATGCATGAAATAGGCTTTTGGTCCAGCCAGCTTCATAAGAGCTTCATCCACCTACAATCAATATTACCAAAACATGTTACAAAAAACTAAACATATACACTCAATATACTGAGGAAAAATATGTCTACCTGGAATCCTTGGAATGCTTTACGACGGTATTCAGCTTCATCCTTTTGCCCCATACTAGCCCATACGTCAGAGTACACAACATCAGCTCCTAGTACAGCTTCTTTAGCATCATGTATGATCTCTATCTTACTTAAACCAGCTTGTTCTGCTTTTCTAACTCTTTCTTTGTCTGGTTCAAACCCTTTTGGACAAGCGCAGACAAAGTGGAAAGGTATAACAGATGCCAATTCTAACCATGAGTGGACCATGTTGTTCCCATCTCCAACATAAACAACCTGAAGTTTATTGAGTCAGTATATAAGTAAAGAAACTTCTTTACTGTGTGAGTTTACATATATTCATGAGATCAGCTTACGAAGTCTACACAAAAAAATGTATATAACTAACCTTAAATAGACGCCTAAAGGGATTATTTAATTAGGACAGTGAGTGTATAATAACTAACCTTAGTCCCTTCGACTTGACCAACGTGCTCAATGATAGTGAGGGCATCAGCCATAATTTGACAAGGATGGTTATGATCTGTCAGACCATTGACAACTGGTACACTCGAGTAGTTAGCCAAATCAAGAATGTCCTGCAAAAAGAATTGGATCCAAGTTCCAACATTCATTAACAAGACACTAAAACACACACACATGAGAATGTTTCCATCTATATTTATGTCCCTATACCTGATGAGCAAAGACACGAGCCATAATGATGTCATTATACCGACACAAAACACGAGCAACATCACGAGTTTCCTCACGTTTGCCCATCTGGATATCATCAGGACCAAGATACAAGGCATGTCCACCAAGCAAGAAGAAGCCAGTCTCGAATGAAACACGTGTCCTCATGGAAGGCTTTGCAAAGATCATAGACATAGACTTCCCTTTGAATGGTAGATAGTTCCTCTCCCCTGATTTTAACAAAGCTTTCACCTCTGAAGCCTTGTCTAGAATCTTTTTGATTGTCTCTGTGTCAAAATCATCTATCGCCAAAAAGTCTTTCTGGTCACATTTACCTGCATAAAAGCATAAAAACACAAAGGTAGTTATTTACTTAATGATTCATTTACAGTCAGAGATTCTGACTTCGGACAACAACAAAATTTGCATTTCTTTTCCAAATGATGGTTCTTTAATAATAAAAACATCATAGCTTAATCTAAATACTGAAATTGAAAGATTAGTCTCAATCAATTTTTTTCATTTACCTGCATAAAGCCAAAAAAAAAACACAAAGGTATTTATTTTATTAATGATTCATTTACAGTCAGAGATTCTGATTTCGGACAACAACATTTCCATGTCTTTACCAAATGATGGTTCTGTAATAAAAAAAAAAACATCATAGCTTAATCTAAATACTGAAACTGAAAGACTAATCTCAATCAATAAACAGACATTTTTCATTTGCGTATGATAACACCAGAATCTGGTAGCAAAAGACAGAACCTTTCACATCGGAAGTGACGGAGGAGGCTTGGCAGGAGACACGAAGGCGGAGGGAGGAGAAGGTTGTCGGAGAAGAGAGTGATACGGCGGAGAATCGAGTGAGAGTTGTGTTGGGAGAGAAGGAGAGGGAAAGAGCAGGTGATCGGGGGTTCGAAACGTGAGAAGCCATAGCAGCCGCCACCGTTGTGTTGATGATGGACTCTTTCTTCAGTGACAACTCTGCTTTGTAGTGGCAGAGGAGATTCGATTCACTGGTGGGATTTTATTATTGGGCCTTTTCTAATGCTCATATTGTATTGTTTAGGCTTTAAAGCCCATCTTTATTTGTACTTGGACATTTTATTGCTCTCATATGTTTTTATTACTCCATCGGTTTCACTTTTTAGTTGTTCGTTTTAGTTTTTTCACAAAGATTAAAAAAATATTTAATTTTACATATTGTCAAAATAAAAACATAATTATCTATACATCTAATATAATTTCAACCAATAAAAAAAGAAAAAAATATAAAATTAATAAATTCTACATCAAAACTATAAAACGACACTTATTTTAAAACAAAAATTTTTCTCTATAACAACATATAAACTGAAACGGAGGGGGTATATAATATAATGGAGGAATTATATTTTGTTAACCTATAGTATTTTCTATTATAGAAGAACACATTAGAACAAAAAGTAGAATTCTATTTTATTCTTTATAATAGATAGCTCTAAAATATGAATGGATGAAAATGGTTTATATCAGTGATATAAAGAGTTTGTTATTTACTTCATGTTTACTATTTTACCAAACAAACAAAAGTTAATTGGAGATCATACTTAAATGATCATAAGAAGAAGAGTGACAAAGGTCATTTTGAAACACTTCCATACACCTCATTTTTGACATAAAATGAAATTAATTAAAAATAATTAACTTGGCTTATTTAAAACTTAAAATTCTTATACACTCACCCAAAAATTAAGAATGATAAAGCATCGATTTGGATCAAAGTACAATTGTTCTTTTTATTGCAAAAGTTCCGGGCCAGAGCCATAATTTTTTGCGACAAAGATAAGAACAGATAGTTAAATCTCTTCCTCAGCTGAGACTTGAACATGAGTGACACTTCTATTTTTAGGACAAAAGGTTTTAACCAGTGTTCGAAAAAGCAGCCGAACAGCCGATTACGCGTCCGAATACTCGCACTCCGGAAACCAGCCGTAGCGGTTTGACCAACTCGGCAAGATAAATCGGTCAACGGTCAACAAACCGAATAATATTATTAATCGCTATTTAATCGGATTAATAACCGATTTATAGCTAAATTATATTTGACTAAAGCCCAATTATGAAGACGGGCTAAACTAATTTGAAATCCATTTGCATTTTCTCGAATGGAAGCATCATACTTTATTTATAAGGAGTGTTTCTCTTGACAAACTTCAATATCTTTCGATGTGGGATGTTTAAACTTGTTTTTCATTAAAAATAATAAGAAAAAACAGACTTCTGGAGATTTGAAAAAAAGACTTAGAGCTCAACAATGCAATATCATACCACTAGACTACATTATCATATTGTTTTCTTTCCCACAAAAAAATTAATATACGTATATGTATTTGAAAATAAATAAAATATTAAAAATTAATCCCCGATTAAATCCCGATTTTTTGGTAACTCGCTAGGTCATACTGTCCGCCCGACTAACGCCTAGCGCGTTTCCGAACACTGGTTTTAACTGTATAATTAGTAGCTCCGAGTAAAAAAGTACAATTGTTTTCATGTTTCCTAATCCTAACACAAGCATAATCAAAGAGTTGGGTTTGTTGACCATGTCGTCTAACCGTATCTAATTGTTTCTTGATCATGTTGGAATAATTCAATTTGTTCTGTTTATGTCGGATTAAATAAATACAAATGTTTGCTGTCACGTAAACTGTTTGTTAGTCCAAAATAATGCAATGGTTTGTTCCGGGACGACGCCCAGATCCGACAGTTTTGAGCTCTGTTGCTACACCTAACCAGAGTCTTTGTCTACATTAATAAATACTACTACTAGCTCCCTCGGTCTATTTTTATAAAATGTATGCATCAAACTGTTATTCACAAGTGGCTTCATGGCCAGCTTCACGTGTCCATCATGATGGACAGTCCATGTAATCAACGTATATATATTACCATGATTTTCTTTCCAAATGTAACATTCGAATATCTTGCTACAATGTCTTCGTTAAGTTATACTGAACTAAGTAGAAATAAATTCAGTATATAGACTATGGAAATTATATCTTCAATTGAAATGAAATATATAAATGGATCTCTTTATCTACATGGAAGTTTCCATAGAGACAATATTCTAATGAGATGACATAATCATTAGTTATGGTAGGCAACTAATCATTGTTTCCATAGACAGGAGACCGAACATTTTGAAAATAATAGAATTCACCAAAAGTTTAAGAAGCTTTTATATATTGTGCTATCATTATTGGTTTGATATCCACACAAGATTATACTAATAATTTTACTTTTGGAAAAGCCAAACAATATTAATTATATCAACCAATTAAAGCGAGCATTATAATATTTTAAATGCTCGTTGGAAAAAATATACTTAAAAATCTCTCATTTATATAAATAGGATCATAATCAGTGTCAGTATACCCTCCCAAAAATCAAATATTCTATCGATCGCTTCAGTTTCCCGATTCAATTTCCCTAGGGATAATCTCAATCTTGATCGTATTAAATTTCTCAAACTCAGAGATCAAAGAGACAGAACCAAAGCATTTATACCTTCTTCTGTTTCACGGAAACATAACAAACAACACAAAAACATGACGAAACCGTTCGAGTTCCATGTCGTGGAAGCTGAGAAAGCTGAAGCGATGAGAAGATACAACAACCAAAAACACTTCCGTAACATTATACGAGCATGCGCCGTAGCTTTAATGTTTTACGTGTGGTTTCCGACAGTGACGGTTTCACTACTTGCTGTCGGAGACTGGTTTTACCGAACCGGAGTGGTTGTTGTAACAAATCGTATCGTTGTCTTTGTCTCCGCGAACTTACTCGTCGCTTTGGTTTTCCTTTTATCTCGCGATCGTGACGAAGAGAGTCGTTCCAAACAAGATCTTTACGATCAGTACACCTCCTCCTCCTCCTCCGTGATCGTAGCTGCCTCCGGTGAAAAAGTGGTGGACGACGGTGATGATTCGGAAAAGCAAACCGTTGCGGCGGTTGTCGAGGAGGTAGTTGCGGATAAGCAAATCGTTCCGGCGTTTGCTCCGGAGGTTGAGGAGAAGGTGGTTGTGGAGGAGATGGTGGTTACAACAGAGTTAAAGAGAACGTATAGGAGGACGAAGTCGGAGAGGAATAAGAAGGTTAAACGGCCGGTGACGGATTTTAGGAGGACAGAGTCAGCGAACTCGGCGATAGAGAGACTTAACAGCGAGGAGTTTCGTTTGAAGATAGAGTCATTTATAATGGAGAAGAAGAGATGTCTTGTTCAGGAAGAGAACGATGTCGTTTCAGCGTTGGAACATAGTTCTTCTGGACTTGAGCTCGTTGGTGCATGATTTTTGCTATGGCTCGTACTAAGCAAAATGTGATGAGATTCTCAATATAATATTATCTACTTAGGATTAGTTTAGGAGCGATCTTTAAAGCTGGACGCAATATCATCGGCTATATTTTCATTGCGGATGATGATTATGTTTTGTGACGTTGAAGCGAGATTACAGATTTTCGTTGTTACAAAAACGTATTTGAATAAATATCAATCGGACGATTTTGTCGTATGATTAACTAAGCTTCTTTCTTTTTTCAAATGTTTGGTTGCCACCAAAATGGATCAGTTGTAAGAATTTGAAGAATCATGAGGATCTTTCTCGTCTGATGGTGGAAACCAAAAAACAGCTTGTACATCGGTTAGTTTATAGGGTTTTAAAGTTGGTTTTAACATTGCTTGTTGCTACTGCAAATGTTGAAAGGTCTCTTTTTGCAATGAAGTTACTGAATACAGCCACATGCAATCGAATTGGACACGGGTGTTAAAGTAATTGTTTAGTATGTTATATTGAAAAAGAGTTGCTTGAGTCTATTACAAACGAAAAAGTGGTGAAACGGTGTCAAATCCATGAGAATACACATGGTAAACTTGTAAGGATTTTTATGGTTTCATGACAATTTGTTTCTTATATTTTTATCTAGTATTTTTTATTTCTGCCTTGGACACAAATAGTTTTAGATCCGCCACTGCTTGTAATCTTTTATTTATCCAAAAAATTGAATAATCGTTAGACGGTGATTATACGCTTACGGAGGATTAGTGCATAACAAACACCTCTAGATAAAATTTACACCGATTAAATTAAAAGACGAAAAATGCTTATAATCGATTTGTTGTTTATATTAACATTTCGACGCCGTTTCGTGGTTACATTTTCCATGATATTGATATTACAACTAGGTAAGAAATCTGTGTGATGTCACACAGAGACTCATTTAATAAAAATAAATATATCCTACTGTATAAGTGTTTTCATAAATGTATTGTTTATTTTTTCAACAAAGTTCTTGTAACATGTGTACAATGTAGATTACATTTGTCTATATTCATTTATAGATGCTAATAACATTTTATATTGATTTTAAAATTTCATATTATAATTCAATTTAATATGTCAATACTAATTTAAAGATGTATTTATATATCTATATATTATTTGGTAAGTTATTTGAAATGAAAAATACAATTTAATCTATGCAATAAAACAAAAATATTATTTTTTTATATTTATCTTGAAAAATGTGGGCTAACCCCTACGAAAATACTGAATTTTCTGATAAATGCTATCTATAATATTTAATCTCTTTAGTGTTATTTAAAAATAAATAATAACACCCTAAGTTTATATATATGTATGGTAAACTTATTTTCATGGTAGATGAACATCATTTCTAATTTTTCATTAAGTAGTTTTTTTAAACTTCATATATCACCTATTAAGTGGACTAATCCCTATAAAATCTATATTTTTAGAGAAACAAAAACATCTAAGGTTTTAAATCTCTTTAATATTCATAATATGTTTGTGCATGATGCATCTATGTAATAAAACAAAAATATTATTTTTTCATATTTATCTTGAAATATGTGGGCTAACCCCTACGAAAATACTGAATTTTCCGATAAATACTATCTATAATATTTAATCTCTTTAGTCTTATTTATAAATAACTAATCACACCCTAAATTTATATATATGTATGGTAACCTTATTTTCATGGTAGATGGACATCATTTCAAAATTTTCATTAAGTAAGTTTTTTAAACTTCATATACAACCTAATAAGTGGAATAACCCCTATAAAATCTCTATTTTTAGAGAAATGAAAACATCTAAGGTTTTAAACCTCTTTAATATTCATAATATGTCAGTGCATGATGCATCTATGCAATAATACAAAAGTATTATATTATCATATTTATCTTGAAATATGTGGGTTAACCTTTACTAAAATACTGAATTTTCTGATAAATGCTATCTATAATATTTAATCTCTTTAGTGTTATTTTAAAATAACTAATAACACCCTAAATTTATATATATGTATGGTAAATTTATTTTCATGGTAGATGGACATCCTTTCTAATTTTTCGTTAACCAATTTTTTTAAACTTCATATACCACCTAATAAGTGGACTAACCCCTATAAAATCTCTATTTTTAGAGAAACGGAAACATGTAAGGTCTTAAACCTCTTTAATATTCATAATATGTCAGTTCATGATGCATCAATTCAATAAAAAAAAAATATATTATATTTTCATATTTATCTTGTAGTATGTGGGTTAACCCCTACGAAAATACTGAAATTTCTGATAAATGCTATCTATAATTTTTAATCTCTTTAGTGTTATTTGAAAATAACTAAACACACCCAAAATTTATATATATGTATCGTAAACTTATTTTCATGGTAGATGGACATCATTTCAAAATTTTCATTAAGTAAGTTTTTTAAACTTCATATACAACCTAATAAGTGGACTAACCCATATAAAATCTCAATTTTTAGAGAAATGGAAACATCTAAGGTTTTAAACCTCTTTAATATTCATAATATGTCAGTGCATGATGCATCTATGCAGTAAAACAAAAATCTTATATTTTCATATTTATCTTGAAATATGTGGGCTAAACCCCTACGAAAATACCGATTTTTCTGATAAATGCTATCTATAATATTTAATTTATTTAGTGTTATTTAAAAATACCTAATCACACCCAAAATTTGTATATATGTATGGCAAACTTATTTTCGTGGTAGATGGGTATCATTTCAATTTTTTCATTAACTAATTTTTTAAAACTTCATATACCACCTAATAAGTAGATTAAACATTTAAGGTCTTAAAACTCTTTAATATTCATAATATGTCAGTTCATGATGCATCAATTCAATAAAAAAATATTTTATATTTTCATATTTATCTGGAAATATGTGGGTTAACCCCAACGAAAATACTGAATTTTATGATAAATGCGATCTATAATATTTTTTCTCTTTAGTGTTATTTAAAAATAACTAATCACACTCTAAAATAATATATATGTATGGTAAACTTATTTTCATGGTAGATGGATATCATTTCAAAATTTTCATTAACTATTTTTTTAAGACTTCATATACCACCTAATAAGTGGACTAACTCCTATAAAATCTCTATTTTTAGAGAAACGGAAACATTTAAGGTCTTAAACCTCTTTAATATCCATAATATGTTATTGCATGATGCATCTATGCAATAAAACAAAAATATGAAAGTTTCATATTTATCTTGAAATATGTGTGCTAACCCGTACGAAAATACTGAATTGTCTCATAAATGATATCTATAATATTTAATCTCTTTAGTGTTATTTAAAAAGTAACTAATCACACCCTAAATTTATATAATGTATGGTAAACTTATTTCATGGAAGATGGGCATTATTTCTAATTTTTCATTAAGTTTGTTTTTTTAAACTTCATATACCACCTCATAAGTGGATTAACCTCTATAAAATCTCTATTTTTAGAGAAACGGAAAAATCTAAGGTGTTAAACCTCTTTAATATTCATACTATGTTAATGCATGTAGCATCTATGCAATAAAACAAAAATATTTTATTTTCATATTTATCTTGAAATATGCAGGCTAACCCCTACGAAAATACTAAATTTTTTAATAAATGCTATCTATAATATTTAATCTCTTTAGTGTTATTTGTAAATAACTAATCACAACCTAAATTTATATATATTTATGGTAAACTTATTTTCATGGTAGATGGACATCATTTCAAATTTTTCATTAAGTAAGTTTTTTAAACTTCATATACAACCTAATAAGTGGACTAACCCCTATAAAATCTCTATTTTTAGAGAAATGGAAACATATAAGGTTTTAAACCTCTTTAATATTCATAAGATGTCAGTGCATGTTGCATCTATGCAATAAAACAAAAATATTATATTTTCATTCTTATCTTGAAATATGTGGGCTAACCCCTACGAAAATACCGAATTTTCTGATAAATGCTATCTATAATATTTAATCTCTTTAATGTTATTTAAAAATACCTAATCACACCCTAAATTTATATATATGTATGGTAACTTAGTTTTATGGTAGATGGGCATCATTTAAAAAATTTCATTAAGTAATTTTTTTAAACTTCATATACCACCTAATAAGTGGGCTAACACCTATAAAATCGCTATTATTAGAGAAACGGAAACATTTAAAGTCTTAAACCTCTTTAATATCCATAATATGTTAGTGCATGATGCATCTATGCAATAAAACAAATATTATAAATTTTCATATTTATCTTGAAATATGTGGGCTAACCCCTACGAAAAAACCGAATTAATGTCTGATAAATGCCATCTATAATATTTAATCTCTTTAGTGTTATTTAAAAATAACTAATCACACCCTAAATTTATATATATGCATGGTAAACTTATTTTCATGGTAGATGGGCATCATTTCTAAATTTTCATTAAGTAATTATTTTTGAACTTCATATACCACCTCATAAGTGGATTAACCCTATAAAATCTCTATTTTTAGAGAAACGGAAACATCTAAGGTGTTAAACCTCTTTAATATTCATACTATGTTAGTGCATGTAGCATCTATGCAATAAAAGAAAAATATTATATTTTCATATTTATTTTGAAATATGTGGGTTAACCATTACTAAAATACTGAATTGTGTGATAAATGCTATCTATAATATTTAATCTCTTTAGTGTTATTTAAAAATAACTAATCACACCCTAAATTTATATATATAAATGGTAAACTTATTTTCATGGTAGATGGGCATCATTTCTAATTTTTCATTAAGTAATTTGTTTTAAATTTTATATACTACCTCATAAGTGGACAAACCCCTATAAAATCTCTATTTTTAGAGAAACGGAAACATCTAAGGTGTTAAGCCTCTTTAATATTTATACTGTGTTAGAGCATGTAGCATTTATGCAATAAAACAAAAATATTATATTTTCATATTTATCTTGAAATATATGGGTTAACCTTTACTTAAATACTGAATTTTTTGATAAATGCTATCTATAATAATTAATCTCTTTATTGTTATTTAAAAATAACTAATAATACCCTTAAATTATATATATGTATGGTAAACTTATTTTCATGTTAGATGAACATCCTTTCTAATTTTTCGTTAAATAGTTTTTTTTTAACTTCATATATCACCTAATAAGTGGAC